GGCCAGTGTAGATGGTAGGCCAGTGTAGATGGAGAAACACCAGTGTAGACATTATAGGCCAGTGTAGACATTATAGGCCAGTGTAGATGGAGAAACACCAGTGTAGACATTATAGGCCAGTGTAGATGGTAGGCCAGTGTAGATGGAGAAACACCAGTGTAGACATTATAGGCCAGTGTAGATGGTAGGCCAGTGTAGATGGAGAAACACCAGGGCCGAAAATCATTCCCAGTGCGAGCCTTGGTAGACGTGCCCACCTAGACTTCCTATGTTGAAGTTTCACTGCTGATTCATTTTCTCTGGACCTTCCTGAGATCCATGATAAACGGTTTTCCAGGCTCTTCTCCCTGGAAGCTTGTTCTCAGCTTAAGTCTTTGATAGAAACGGGTTTGGGTCAGGACATGCATCTGGGATTAAAGCTTTGCTGAGTCAGAGGAAGTCGTAAGCAGCGGAAGGGAGGCCCGGTTCCAGAAAATGCTGAATATGTGGAGGCAGACGTGGCGTAGGCGTGAACGAATGATGAAAGAGAGGCGTGAGCCCTCCACCGCTCTGTAGCTCAGACTTCCTGTTTCTCCCACAGGGTCGCTTCCTGCTGGACGTCTTCACCACCATGGTGGACCTCAAGTGGCAGCACTCGCTCCTCATCTTCACCTCGGCCTTCCTCTGCTCCTGGATGCTCTTCGCCATGGTCTGGTGGCTCCTGGCCTTCGCCCATGGAGACCTGGAGCCCCGTGACCCAGACAGCGGCCCCGGTCCAGTCCCCTGCGTCACCGCCATCCACTCCTTCACCTCAGCCTTCCTCTTCTCCATTGAAGTCCAGGTGAGTCTCGCTGCTGCTGCTGCCGCTGCAGGTGTTGGTCGTTTGCTAATCCTCTTGTCTGGTCTTCAGGTGACCATCGGATTTGGTGGCAGGATGGTGACAGAGGAATGCCCCGTGGCCATCATCATGCTGATCATCCAGAACATTTTGGGGCTGATCATCAACGCCGTGATGCTCGGCTGCGTCTTCATGAAGACGGCGCAAGCCAACCGGAGAGCGGAGACGCTCATCTTCTCCAGGAACGCTGTCATCGCCACACGAAACGGCCGGCCCACCTTCATGTTTAGAGTCGGAGACCTGAGGAAGAGTATGATCATCTCGGCCACCATTCAGCTGCAGGTGAGCCCTCAGAGAGAAAGCGGCGCCACAGAGACCTGATTCTGATGCTAACCGAGGATTCTCTGTTTCCCTGCAGGTGATCCGCCGCACCGTGACGGCTGAGGGCGAGGTGGTTCCAGTTTGCCAGCTGGACATCCAGGTGGAGAACCCTCTGAGGAGTAATGGCATCTTCCTGGTTTCTCCTTTGATCATCAGCCACACCATCGATCGAGGGAGTCCTCTGTACGACCTGTCTGCCCAGTCTCTGGCTACTGAGGACCTGGAAATTATCGTCATCCTGGAAGGTCAGGGCCCAACCTCAGTCCAGCTCCCGACACAGAACCTTTATGTTTCTGATGCAGTGCGTCGAGTTTAAAGAGCTTTAAACATTCCTTACTCTCATGAAACGGACCGATCCGTTCCCATTGAACCGTTTTTAGGGAGTGTTTTTCCTCCATGTTGTTCTGTTGTTGAGCTCAGCTCCAGTTCCAGCTGTTCTACTTCATCCCTGTTCAGAATCCTTCTAACTTTTTATCCCTCTTGCTTCCAGGTGTGGTGGAGACCACAGGCATCACCATGCAGGCTCGCACCTCCTACACCCCCGAGGAGATCCTGTGGGGGAGGCGCTTCGTCTCCATCATCACAGAGGAGGACGCCCGCTACTGCGTGGACTACTCCAAGTTCGGAAACACCGTCCCGGTCCGGATGTCATCCCTCAGCGCCAAGGAGCTGGACCAGAGCCGGGGAGTCCAGGAGGGGCCGTCTGAGACCCAGCTGCAAGGGTGGGGGCTGGTTCGGGCCGGCAGGGGGGGCTTCCGCAGAGGAGGGCGCACCTGTGAAGGCTCAGCCCCCCACCCCTGGTACAACCAATCAGCGAAGCAGGAGAAAGATGTGGAGCAGAAAGGCCAGAATAAGAAAGTGCAGCTGGAGGTGATCGGACGGCAGTTGGAGGAAGATGGACTCGGAGAAATGAGCGACTGAACCAGTATGTGGGACTGGATCAGGAATGGTGGGGGGCGTCTCCATAGAGACGGACACATCTTTGTCTGGTGGTCAGAACAGACTCCATCCTGCCTCTTCTCTCTTTTACTGTTTGATTATTGACCTGTCATGTTTTTGTGCGTTTTTCTGTATCAGTAAATAATTGATGACGCTCACATATCCAGATTATTTACCGATTCCCTCAGAATAAATGACGGACGCTCACAGGACGCCTCACAATGTTTTATCTCTCAGTAGATTAAAATCATTTTCTCTGCTCTTGTTGTTTGTAACGTTTAAATAAATCAGTGTTTGTTTTTTTTATTCTCTGCCGTTTTGTTCGTCTTTTACTGATTCCGTTTGAAATAACAGCTTCCTCGTCCTGAGATGAAACCTGCTGATATCGAAGAATCAAACAAAATCGTTCTGTTCCAGGGGTTTATGTCTCAGGAAAGAATAACAGCAATCTGGATTTTATTATATGACCCAAAACATCCAGCAGGTTCCACACCGTCCTAATTTATGAAACAGAAGAAACCAGGAGAGAAGAGCTGCATGAAGAATCCGTACTTGAAACCTCTGAGTTTAAGAGGGAAACTATTCAGCAAGACGCTGCTGATAAAACATGAATTAAAACCTGGCACTCCTATTGAAATAAATACATTTTATTAATATCTATTGATGCTGAAACTCTGCGTTTTATTTCCATATGTTTAAATCAGTTAGGGCTCCTGATTTTTATTTATATCTTTACTACTGATAGCTGTAATACCCATCAAGCAGCACCAGGGGGAGATTGAACCCTGATTATACTATGGGCTAAAACAGCTGTATTAAATTTATTATGGGCCTTCCATTCATCATCCATCCATCCATTAATCTAACCATTTATTCATATATCCATTCATTATTCATGCATCCATCCATCATCAATCCATCCACCATCAATACATCCATCTGCCATCATCCATCCATCATGCATCCATCCATCCATTATGCATTCATCCATCATCAATCCATCCACCCATTATCCACCCATCATCCATTCATCCTCAATCCATTCATCCATCCATCCATCATCAATCCATCATCCATCCATCATCTATCCATCATCCATCCATCATCAATCATCATCCATCCATCCATCCATCCATCATCCATCCATCCATCAAACATCCATCATCCATCCATCCATCCATCAATCCATCATCCATCCATCCATCATCCATCCATCCATCCATCATCAATCCATCCATCATGCATCCATGCATCCATCATCCATCCATCCATCATCAATCATCATGCATCCATCCATCCATCCATCCATCCATCCTCAATCCATCATCCATCATCAATCCATCATCCATCCATCATGAATCCATCAATCATCAATCCGTCCACCCATTATCAATCCATCCATCTTTTATCCATCCCTCATCCATCCACCCACCAAACATCCATTTATTATCCATCCATCCATCCATCCATCCATCCATCCATCCATCCATCCATCCATCCATCCATCCATCCATCCATCCATCCATCCATCCATCAGCATATCATCAATTCTGGAATTCTGCTGGAAGTTTTTTCCTGTTAAAAGAAGTTTTTCCTCTCTACTCTGCATGCATGCTCACTGTGAGGGATTGCTGCAGAGTGAAAAACAAAAATGTGAGCGAATGTCGTCGCAACAGGCTCATCCAGGAGAAATGTGACATGTAAGTCAATGACTGCATCCAATGTTTTGCCTCAATGAAAACATTGAACTAATCGGACAGTCTGATCTGGTTGAATCATCTCTGTAAAGAGAGATGACATGTGCTGTGAATTAGCGCAATAAAAATAAACTGAATTGAGTCATATCACATTTTGAGAATTATAATAAGGAATGTTTCTACATTTTCAAAGATATTTCACATCAACTGCAAACTTGGTCAACAGAGCAGAGGTTTGTCCAGTAGGGGAGCTGCTGTCTCTTCTTCTGGACATCAGGGATGTTTAAGGCACGGTTTTATTGAAAGGTAATAAGCAGTTAATCTTTTATCTAAATATTTATGTTCATTTTCAATCAATGTGAATCCAAACAAGCTTGGTGATTCAAGTTATGACCAGTCTGTACTGGTTTAACAACCAGCATGACCAGTTACACAAAGATATTCAACTGTAGCTGAAACTCAGCCGTCTGCTCTTTCAGAACCAAATCATGTTCCGGTTCTGATGAGGAGAACCGCGGTTGGGTTAAAATGATCAGAACCTGTAACAGGGTCAGATCCAAGGAGGCCACCATGTTCCTGAGATCCAACTAAGAAAAGAGATCCAGAATTAAAAAGCCAGAAAAAAGGTTTTTATTTCCAGTCAAATAGAAATCAAATTTTAAATGAATACAGTTAGATTTACAGAAGAGACCTGAGGAGCTGCAGGAGCCTGTAAACAATCAGCAAGCTAAAGATTAGTAGTTATCAAGAAAGCAGCAGGGATTCAGGACCAGAACCACCAAATGCTCAGCAGGGACCACAGCAGAACCAGCACCGGGGTCCCAGCGGGAGCCGTGGAGCCCGAGTTGCACAGGTTACTGTTACAGCACCTGTAGGTGAATCTGGAGATGGACGGGAACATCTGGGTGAGACGGGACACATCGCACTCTGTGTACCGGATACACTGCCGGATCGTCTTCCCACCTGCAAACACAGAAGAAGAA